TGATTTTAGCATATGGCTGCAATATAACAAAGAGTGAAAAATTTAAGGGGGTCTGAATACTTTCCGTACTGCGACAAACACCAGGTTATGACACTTGAACATTTTGTTCAGCAACATAATCATAACAAATCAACACAGTTTTAATGATTTTTGAAGCCCAAATATGATTGCCAGAAGTAAAAAGCTGTTGTTAGGCTACAAACAAACTACACCACAGTCTCATAACTTCAGCATCACCACCACGGTTTCCAACCTCTTCTACAAAATCCTTTCCCCTTGGAGTGACCTGATGTAGATAATGATCATGGCTGTGTCAGTTCATTAGAATAGTTTGCAAGTGTGGAGGTTTAAAAATAGCTGGCTGTAAAAGGCGTACTAGTGAATAGATGAGTCTCTGTGTTCAGCATGATGACTTTCAGTATCCCAGACAGCCTCTTTAGTCTCATTTAGCCACTTGTTAGCAACCACCTTTTTTAAGATCGGTAAAAGCATTAAAAATCATGAGGGGTATTTACTGATGTATTTTGTTTCATAGAACAAAATTTGAAAATGTATTGGCCTTTTGTTAACCACAGACATGATTTCAAGCATCTAACCAAAAACCTGTTTAAAAAAAAAACAAAAAAACAGTGATGTTAGGCAAGGGAAATAGAAGTGCAAAAATATTAACTCAGTTCCAGGTTTTAGGACTCACTACAGTGGCACTTTATTTGAGGATCAAGCATGCATGAATTGGATTTGAGTCAAAATTACACTCCTTTTGGAGATACAAGTCCAATCTTAGCTCCTGAACATGAAACATTGTCATACCTTCTGTAGGCATTTCCCAATGATATTGTTATCTGCGATGTCCATTGCCAATAAACCTACACAAATCCATTTAGAAATTACAGGGAAACAAAGATGCTTTGGAACTTTCCTGAACATCACCACAATGTAAAGTTTTCTTCATTAGCAGAGTAATCCAGTGATAGTTGTTTTAAAGTGCCCATGGTATGCTCATTTCCATTCATTTAATGTTTAATCTTTGGTACCTCTAGATTAGCTTTTCACCCATTATCAGTCCAAATAGAATATAATTATTTCAGATAAAACCCAGTATCACAGGGAGAGCTGCCTCTTGAAAATGAGAGGACAGTCCGTGAATGTGCACAGTTCCTCCGGTCAGGAACAAAAACATTTTGACAAATAAGCTACATTTTTGACAATAATACCTCAAATCCTACTGAACATGTTCGAACCAGAAATATGAAGTGGGCAGTAGGACAAACCACAACAACCTTAATTAATTTGAATTTCTCCTCCATAGATAGGTAAACAATGGTATATGTACTGATGAAAAGAAATTTGTAACACTCTAAAGTGGGTAATTGAGAAACCCCATATTTTAACTGGCGTAGTACATGCATAACTTCTCCAGCCTTAAAACGGTTCTCTCTAAAGAAATGCCAATTTAACAGACCTGCAACATGTTTTTATTTTTTAAACTTATTGTTACATCCCACTGAGTAGTGGAAACTTAAATGTTGGTAAATCCAACCGGTGATAGCTGCGTCTTCCCCCAACCTGCAACACATCACATGCGGCATACATATACTGGACTCACACAGTCAAAATGACCAAGTACTGTGCTCCAGAGGAATCCAGTGTTGTTGAGATGATCATTTCATTGCCCCAGGTGCTTCGTTGGCTGGGCTGCTGGTAGATTAGACCCAGTCAAATAAGACAGCGAGTCCCTGTACATGACCGTTCCTGGACATGCAGTAACCTCAGGCCCTGTGTTTTTCTCCATGTGCTCTGGGCACAATGCAGGCAGCAGGGAGGTAAAATATATATATCCACAAATCCCTGTGTAGTTGAAAAAAATACCGGGGGGGTCTCGCCAGCGAGAGTTTGCAAGTACAACAACATGGGTACACCTTGTTTCTTGAGCTTTCAGTCACATTTAAGATAATACATTGTTGTAACATTGTAGATAAATCAGAAAAGCATGCAATGAGCTCTTTAATGTATTTAAATCCATGAATACACTACAGACAGGGTTGGCAAGCAGCTAATTTGGTGTAGGCCTACTTTTAATGGACAAAATGTAAAAATGTAAACAAATATAAACTAAAAATGTAGCTGAAATTACAATAACTCATTTGGTGAACCTTTATGGCCTACTGCTCCCTTGATGGTTTTTATTTTTTATTTTTTCTGTCATCACATTAGCTCCCAAATAGGCTTGTATATTGGTGTTAGCATGTTTCTATCTGGGAGATTAGAAAAACATTTAAAATGTGTAAATTACAAATAAGATTAGGTAAAATGGGCATCCAGCATAAAACCTGTGCCACATCACTTATGCTGATCATTGGGATCCTCTGTAGCATCCCCCCAAAACGGGAGCTACTGAAAGATGAATAACAACAAAAAGTAGCATTATGTAATTTTGTCTGCAATTATTACTGGCTAGGATGACAAGCTTGTTTAGCTTTGTCTGAAAATTTATCAGGTGATTTGAACAGTGTGGGTGTTGTTGAACTTAATCAGAGTGATCTGTGTGTGTACTGTACGTTTGTTTGCTCCTATGAACATACATCATGATGTTGTGGCTTAACCTTTGAATCCATAATGTGTGAAAATTAACAAAATTCATAATGTAGCGTATGTATGACTGTTCTCTAGCTGTAGGCTGCTTCTTACCATTTAATATTAGAAAAAAAGTTCTGTCTTGGTTTATCTATATTTGCTTTGTTCAAAATAGCGAGTGGTTTGAGGAGAGTGTTGAGGACCTTGTTTGTTGAATTTTACTCTTGTATTTATTTTGTGGTCAATTGACCATGTTGAATGTGAGTAGACCCTGATTCAGTTTATTGGCAAATGTAATGGCTACAGACATTTGTCCTTGTTCAGGTTGATTTAGTGTGAGTTTTTCAGTGTTGAATGTTTCTATGTTTATTATTACTTTTTGTTGTTAGTCAAGTCAGATAGGTTTTTTAGTTATGATCTATAGTGTAAGGTTTTTATTTTTCACCCTAACTTGTGACGTAGAGACTGCAGAGAAGGAGAGAGGGAGACAAGAAAACTGCAGGAAGTAAAGCTCACACATTTACTGGAGCATACTAACCTTCATACATGGAAGACCTGAACATCTGCGTGTGTGTGTGTGTGTGTGTGTGTGTGTGTGTGTGTGTGTAGGAAAGTGTGACAGCCATCAACAATCAATCGGTCATTATGCACTGGTTATTCAGATAAAGTATCATCATAGATTAACACATATGATTTAAAAGAGACTTCCACACAGAGGAACTTGTTAGTGTAGGACGTGATCGCCATTTGGCATCATAGTCTAACATAGTCATTGAAAATGTCCTGGAAAATTATTTCTTAAAGAGTGGGAACCCTGTCTGGCATTTTTTTATCTTATGCACTGAACATCTCACCCACATTTACATGTTAGTATAAGTAACATTGTGCAAATGATCTTAAATTACACAGAATATCTTAGAAATGGTTTTAAAAAATGTTTTTTCAGAATTGTCCAACAAGTCAAGAGAGCAGGATGTTAGGGGTGTTTTTATACAAAAAAAAAGAGAGAAGTGTACATAACACCAATCCATGTGATGATACAGTGGGAGCATGAACTGTTAAACAAAATGTGAAGGGATCTCACAACTATTAAGTGCATGTTTGAGCCAAATTAATTTACTTCACATTGGATTAAACCAACCAGAAGCAAACTAGATGTTTGTTTGTTTGAGCTCAATTTTAGTATTTAGTCAGTCAGATCAAATCAATTTGATGCAATGGATGGCCAAAGAATATCTGTATTTCACTGGGAAAGTCTAAAATTGAGTAATTATTAGGCTTTAAATTGTCTTGTATATGATTTTGATAGGTCTTAAAAATTATTGATTGTGTTTAGGTTGTTTTAGTGTCATGCTGACTTAAGGTGTGTTTTTGGGGAAAATGGTTCTATTTTGTAGTTCTTTATCTCACCCATTTGTATTTATTATAATGTAATACCAAAATTAACTTGGGGCCCAGAACATTTGCACACTTCCTGGTCAGAATTTGTCATAGAACACTCAGCTTATTCAATATGAATACTGCACTTTTATTTTTTCAATCATTCATACTTTTTAGACAGTATGGATGTGAAATGGGTCTTAAATTGTATTCAAAGTGGTCTAAAAAAGGTCTCAAATTTATCCCAGTAAAATCTGCAGAAGCCCTCTGTACTGTGTTTATAGTAGGTGTGTGTACATATTAAGGGCAATAAAAAATTAAAGCCCTGCACTGCATCCTTCACTACAACTTGTTTATTAGTCTGTCTGAGAACCACTGCTGGCTGAAATGCCTGGTGACTCTTCATATCCTCTTGTTTTTGTGTCATTTCAATAAATTCAATACATTTTATGGCAAATAAAAATAGTTAAATGAATAGTTTTGGTACATAGTACCACAAGGTTTGGCAAGTTCCTGTTTTCTTAACTCTAGTTAGTTAATTCATAATCAGACAGCTGCATGTCAAAGAGGATGGCCACAGTTGAGCAGTATTCCACATCGCAACCTTATTGTTTGTGATGAAACAAATTGCAATGGTTCAGCCATAAGTGTTTTGAAGCTGGAAATAAAGATGGTCAAATGTAAAGAAAATGTGTTTGATGACAGCAAGGCTACCAAGGCAGTTGACACAAATTTGATTATATATTCACTTCAGTTTTTTTGTGCCTTTTGACATTATTTGTCATTCGCTACCTGCTTGTTTCCTGGTGGGTTAGGGTTGCAGATGTAAAAGAAGCTTTCCTTTTTTCCTCACAGAACCTTAAGTGTGGGAATTAACAGGTGACTCCTAGTGGGGATTAACCCCATCTATCCCTGGAAGAGTCATTCCAGTGCTGTCAGTGTTTTTGGCAGGGTGTGAAGTTTTTAGTTTGCTGACATCTAGTGGACAGCTTGGGTACACTGCTTAGCAACTTTGACATTTATAGAATCAACAAACAAATGTTTGTTTGTTTTTTTCTTTTTGTTTTCTCAGTACCAAGGCCCCCAGTTCAATCAGTTCAACCACCACCTGGTATTGTTGAACTAGATGGGGAAAAATTTACACTGCAATGGTAAGATTAATGTATAAACATATGATAATTTAACAGATAAATATGTACAGTGGAACCTTGGATTGCGAGTGGAATTTGTTTCAGCAACGTTTTCATAATCCAAAGCACTCGTATATCAAAGCGAATTTCCCCATAAGAAATAATGGAAACTCTGATGATTCGTTCAACACCCACTTATCCATATAAAAGTGACAGTAATGCAAAATACAGTATAAAGTAAAATTAAAACAAATTAACCTGCACTTTACCTTTGAAAAGAATCGTGGCTGGCATGAGGGACCATTGTTGTAGTACAGATATTGACTATACGAGTGAAGTGCAAGAACCATCGGCTCTGTTGTGACGCACAGCAGACAAAGCATACGTACTACTCGTATTGCGAGACCTCGCTCATATATCGAATCAAAATTTTTTGCTCATCTTGCAAAACACTTGCAAACTGGGTTACTCGCAATCCAAGGTTCCACTGCATATTAAGTGTAGGTTGTATCTTCTACTCTGTACTATACAAGGAGAGTGACAGTGCAAACCCTCTGCATACAACCTTGAACCTATAATTTGCCCCAAGTTGTCATCTTATTTTAGAAGTCCTGTCTTTGTTAGACAACAGATTTACATTTTCTTTCTAATCATATGTATGTCTACTGTTTCTTTTTCCATCAGGCTAAATGCACACTTTGAGACGAATCCCGAGGGATCTGTCTCTCGGTCAGAGATGTACGCTGAGTACCTGGCCACGTGCAGTAAAATGGGACGGAACAACATCTTGAACTCCACCGGTTTCCTCAAATGTCTACGGTTGGTCCCAATTCCTCCCCTGCTACACTGGAGTAGTTACTGCCCATTGCTTGAACAAAACATAGCTTTTCTGAGTTTTAAGAATCACATTTGTTAACTTGTAAGATTCTAGCAAATGTTAAAGGAAAGCAGTTTGAGTCCTTTTAGTTATTTACATGTCCCTGATGGTAACTACCACTGGTAAAACAAATGTTTCACCTTTGCTTTCACCTTTTTCACTCTGCAATTTTTCCTTTGTGATAATCCTGTCTGCCACCACAGAACCGTGTTCCCTAACCACACGATGCGGCGGCAAGAGGAGCCTAAGGCCAATGGTCAGGTTCAGATCCTCCTAGTGGGCCTAAGGAGAAGATCAATCCCCCTGCCCATCCAGCTGTATTACCAGCAGCAGCAGAGTCCAGCAGCAGCTCCTTCAACCTCGGCAGCCCGACATGAAGCACCTGGAGACCCACAGGCTCCGCCCCCAGGTACAGCTAGCAAAATCTTTCATCTTTATATTCTTTCATTCTTGTTCTCTGAGTGCGTTTATGGGAACGTTTGCACTGTGAGAGACTGTACTAGCTAAAAACACTGAGGCAGAATTATTCATAAAAACAAACTTACTGGCAAATGATAAACGGAAAAGCAGCTACTGGCGGGGGGGACAAATGAATGGTAGGAGAAACACTGCTATCCTTGTATTTTTATTTGCTGTTGAAAATCACAAACTGATGCTTATAGCCAACACAAGCAAACTCACCGCAGCTGAAGACCACGTTGTGTGATTCAAACATTTCCAACAACTCGTGTCTGTTTAGGTAACCACTGACATTCACTGCCAATGACGCATAGAGGTCTTGAAGGGTTGTCCCATTTCACAGGAGAAGATTTCAACCACTACTCCTTGCAACTCTGCTTTGAGGGTTAACCCAAAAACAGCACTCAAAGGAGTGGTAGGGGTAAAAAATAACAAATGGAATTGGGCCTTAGGCTATCTTATCAAGGCTCCAGATTACGAGTGATCAGTCTCATCTTGTGACCAAATTTATTTAAGGTGCTGAATTTTTTTTCAAAGGTTGTACTGGGTGTGGCAGAAAACAAACTGGTTATGCATGAACAACCGCTGTCACGGTAGAAATGGTGGACAGATATCACAGTCTACACAATACTGTCATTGCAGTGTTTATCTGCAGGTTTGTCATTCACCTGTCTCACGAAGTAGAGACTTCCAATCTATCAAATGTGTCAATCCACACTGACTCTGAGACATACGTGTCATCCCTGGACCCCTTTTTTGCACTTTGTCTATTTTTTGCTTTGGTGCATTTGAAGTGTAAAAAATCGTCACAGACATTTGCTTAAATCAGGTATGTCGCCTGTTAGACTATTTATGTATTAGAAACTTTTTATTTGAATCTCTTGTGATGGATCAGGCTCCTTTGAGCTGGTTATACTTTCTCCCCGTCCTTTGTAGCAACATGGGAAAATAATAAAATTATTATATCCATACATATACACACTGCTGATTTCTTGCTGATGAGCCTATATGCAGACTATTTTTGTCCAGTACATTTCTGCTGTCGGTCAGCCTGGTGAAGACCGTCCTGTCCTCCTGCTAACAGATAGCTGTTCTGATGAGAGACACTGCACGGAGGTCCGAGTCTGTGGATTGAACTGATCAAATACTTAAGTCACTTATATCCTGACACCTGTTTTTAAAAATGTTTTTGGCACCTTTTACTGCTCATGTTTTGCACAGTTTCTATTGGAAGACTATTTATCTTAAATGTGTACTACATGATATGCAGCTGACAGCGGGTTGTCCTCATCTGTTATTCTGTTACCGTGAAAGCCTATTGACGCATCAACTCCTTCATATTATCAAAACTAATTGCCAGTAGGTGTGTAAAGATTAACTGATCAGTGAGTCAGAGAGATGCATGCACTGATTCAAACAGACTCTGTTGAAATAAGGGTCTAAATTGGATATACAGCATTTCATTTGAAAAATGCATCTCAGCACTGTCTGATAAGATGAAGCATCAGGTGGACACAGTACAAGTGTACTGTGCACTTCTGCCCTGCGTTTTTATTGTTGAACAAAGGAGACACATTTGGTTTTTGCTGCTTTGAGGAAACACCAAGTGTTTTAATTGTCTGACCTAAGTACATACATTTTAATTTAGGTCTAGTTTGTCAATACAAGCTAAATTAAGATTGAATGTCAACTTATTGTAATCGAATTTGCTCTGAATTGCACAATATTGTAGCATTACAAATTCAGCTGTATAATTTTTGTATCGAATCATGGACAGATCAAGTCATGTGAGAGGAAGAGCTACAACAGTTAATTTCTTGAGGAAAAAGTGTTTTGTTGTTTATATAAACAGTACCTTAAATTATATTTAGGTGGATATGATCGTACACCTATCACCAGTTGTGCAAAGGCCTGCTGCTAGAAATACATCAGTTCTGATGTGTTCTGATGTATGTTATTTTTATTATTGATGTAATGTATCAAGGGGTTAAAAAGACTCTTTGTAAACCTGGAAAACTAGGACTTAAGTTCCATCTTGGAACTTAACAGTTGCTGTGTTTGTGTTACCAGGATTACTTCCCGGGCACCCCAATCTTGGACCTCAGTTAGTCCGGGCCCCAGGCACCAGCCTCAGCACAGGTGGCACTCCCCCATCCGTGGCCTTGATTGCACAGGAACCCCCACATGCAAGCCACCCAACTGTTTGTCACCCGGTGCCCCCACAGGTGCCTCCACAGTTACCACCAAATCCTATGGCAGCAGTGCAGCAGCAACATCAGCAGCAGGTTCGTCCTGGTCCAGTGGTCCAGATTCCAACATCTGTGCCGGTCACCCAAAACCACAGTCCCCAGAACTCTGCCACATCACCTGCGGCTCAGCAGCAACAGCATCACTCCCCCATGATTTCCACAGGGACCCCTGTCACTCTGTTTCAGCAGGTACCACAGGGCCACATCCTCACAGCCAGGGTACAAGGTGTGTGCCCGCCAATCACCCAGCATTCTCCTCTGCCTCAGACCCCTCCTCTGTCTGGATCTCAGGGTGGAGCTCCCCAGGTGGAGCCTCAGTGTGTTGCTGCAACAACGGCACCCTCTTCTTCCATCCAGGTGGGGGGTTGTCAGCCACTAAGCTTCACAGGTGGGCCCAATTCCCAGGGGACACGTGTTGCATTTCAGAATATCGCCCCCAAACCAGCGCCAAACCAGTCAGGTGGACCAGCAGTCACAATATCCACTCCAAACCAGCAGCCTCAGCCTCAGCAGCAGGCGCCGAGTGTAGTAATAGTCAGCCCCAACCCCCAGCAGAGCCCAGCCTACACCCCTGCCATACACCAGATCGTTCTTGCCAACCCCTCTGCCATTCCTGGTGCCCAAACTATTCAGATAGCAGGGCAGCCTGGACCTTCTTCCAGCCCCTGCTCACCTCCTGTTTCTCACTCCACTCCCCAGGTCCAGCCCAATCAAACTGTTAGTCACACACTCTCCATGAAACGACATCAGCAGCAGCCACCTCTCCAAATTATTTCCCAAACTCCATCCTCTCAGCCTACCTCCACTGAGTCCAGCTTGATCAAACAGCTACTGCTTCCAAAGCGAGGTCCTTCTACACCAGGAGGAAAGCTCATCCTACCGGCTCCACAGGTGCCCCCTCCCAACAGCACGATAGCCCCTACTCCACAGGTCATCTACCAGACAGGCTACAGCTCCCAGAATCACTCTCCTCAGCCTCAGCAGCTCAATGTCCAGCTGGTTCCTGGTCAGCTTCCTGCTGCAGGAGCTCCAGCCCTCCAAACGGTCCAGCTCTTGCAAGGCCCACTCATCTCCACAAGTAGCCCAGCAGCTGCTGCTATAATCCAGGGACCCACAGCAGCTGGACAAGTCACATTCACCGTGGTCCCCAACACTGGCTTCACCACCTCTACTGCTGCTGTTGCTGCTGTCAGCCAGGGTGCTGTAGCTCCAGGCATTCTCCCTCCTCCATTTTCTACTGGAACAGTGCCCCACCACGCCCCAGCAGCTCCACCACCACTGCCAGCTCCCCTTAGAGGAGACAAGATCATTTGTCAAAAGGAAGAGGAGGCCAAGGATGCCACAGGGCTGCACATCCACGAGAGAAAGATAGAGGTTATGGAGAACTCCTCTTTGGCAGAAGGAGACTCCTCTAGTGGCAAAACTAGTAATGGCGATGTTGCGGCAGGTGCCAAGCTGCTAAATGGTCGGAAGTGCATGGAGTCTAATCTACCTCCATACCACTCAGGGAACAGTCAGGGGGCACTCAATGGCCCAGCTATGGAGAGTCATCCTGCTAATGGGAGACTTGCCCTCTCCCCTGGCCTGAACACCCCTCTGGAGGGCAACCCTGACCCCAAAAAGACTCTAGTCAATGGGGTGTGTGACTTTGATCGGGGAGACAGTGGTGACAACTTTAACAAAAACATTCCAAATCACATTTCTTCCAAACAGTACTTGGGGAATGGGGAGGTGGGCCCCTCTGAGAAGAGTCATGGTTCAGATCCCTCGCTCCCCCACCAGGACACTGCCAAAGCCCAGCAGATTGAGCGCCTGGCCAATGGACCCCAGACGGTAGGCAACAGGCCTCCCTTGGAATTAACCAATGGACCTTTGGGGCCTGGCCATGCTGTGGTAAGACAGCAACTGCTCCCCAACTCCCCCCTCCCCTCCACTGTTACAGTTACCTCCCAGAGTCTTGCTGTCTCTCCTGCAAATGGAGTGGCCTCTGAGGCTCGAGGCCTCAAGAGGCCAGCTGAGAACGAGGACCGCAGTGCAGCGGCGGCATCCATGGGGATCCCCAATAAAGTGGGAGTACGGATCATCACCATCAGTGACCCCAACAATGCCGGCAGCAGCGCCACAATGGTGGCGGTGCCAGCAGGAACGGACCCAAGCACAGTAGCCAAAGTAGCGATAGAGAATGCCACTCAACAGAGGAACTGCTCACCCACACAGGCAGCTGGCTCAACGGTGAGTCACTGCAGGTTTATTCTCATAATAAGTCACATCTATACAGTGTCTTCTAGTAGTCTGGCACACAGTTTGTATTGCATGTCTGTCACAGAAACACAAGGGTGAGTATTTACATTCCCAAGTAATATATGTTGACTGAGTAATTTGAATTTTCCACCTACATTTTTGGTCAAAGGTATCCTGTGGTATATTCACTGAAACGAGGTTTATTTGCATTCAACATTAATCACCACATTTTATATGCCCTTCATATTCAAGCAAATATTTTGGGACATCTCCTACTGTAAGGGCACGCCAGGCCGATGTGAGAGAACTAGCAGTGACGAAGGCCGACCTCTGTGTTGCCTCACGTTGGCTTTGTCTGGGCCAGTCAGGTTGAAAAAATGAAACTTGAGCACACTGCACAGACTACAGACAATGACCATCTGGCATGCAGGTTCTGAGCATGTGTGACAGAAATAACTCCCCATACCAGTAGTTGGCAGTGTGTGTATTTGCCATTTAGAAAGGGAAAGAAGAATAGCTAGAAAGCAGAAGTATAAGCTATAAACAAAACACCTCTTGCTCACAGCAACTGCTGTTTATAGCTGCTTCTAATCAAGAATATGTCTAAGAAGTTGCAAATGATGCTGCCATTCTCTGCCCTTGGTCTTTTGGTTGTGGAAGAAGAAAAGAGGTTGTGGGAGTGAAAAACAAGGAGACACCACATTAAATGGGTGAAATCATGGATACTATAGTGACAGGCTTGAAGGGGCTTTTACAAGCCATTCTCTTTTCCTGCACTGATTCGCTAAGCTCAACAGCCAATCAGAGTGGTGTCTCTAACTTGTGAAACCTGACCGCCGACACTGATTCAATATGTCAAATCAGCTGAAAAGCAGCTAATGGGGGTGAACTAGTGCCAATGGTGGCAGGACATACTGGGAGGATGAGCGCCGACAGACGCTCACCGATGGCCAACGACCAGCCGTAACTTGGTCTGTCTCTGCTCTAAAACATATACTAAGGGTGTTTTCACACCTGCCTTGTCTACTGTGATTGAATCGAAATCTGGTACGTTTTGCACCTTGGGTGCGGTTCATTTCGACAGATCTGAAGACAGCAAGTGCACTCAAGTTTGTACCAAAACAATCGCACTGAGAGCCTCTACTGTATGTGATCTCGGTCCGGTCCCAGCAAACTCTAGAAAGGTTCGAGCCTCAGTCAGACCAACTATAAGGACTACTTGGCAAGTTTAAGCTAAGTGACTGTAGATTGCACATTGTCTGAATATACCAAATAAAATTATGCCAAAGGAATGATTTTATTGGCATTTTGTTTGTTATATTGCCCAGATAATCACCATAGTTATGAGAAAATGCTAGTTGTGCCATTTCTCCATGCTGTAGAGCAAATTTGTTTTATAGGAATATTCACTGGTACAGGACACAGATCTTCCTGTGTTTGCATTCTCATTCCCGCCCCAGACTCATTTAATCAGTGAGCGCAGGGAATTATCTAATTTGTAATGAAGCATTTTGGTTCACTTGGATTTTTCTGTGTGAGAAAAGAAACTGGACCATGTTTTACATTTATTAGGATACATTTATCTTGAAGCTGTAGTTTATGGCCATGTATTCTGGGTTTGGCTCAGATGACAGCCTTTATTTGACACTTGGTTTTTAAATAGGATATATTTTAACATGATACAACATACTATGACTTCAGATTTATTCTCCAACAAAGAACAGAGACACTTATTTGCTTTCTCAGTTCAGCACCTCCCTCTATCTTAATGAGTTTGTCTTCAGCTGTAGAGCAGAACAAGTTTAAATCTGCAACAGAGAGGCTACCAGGAAAACGTATGACAAAATTGCTTTGTACTGCCACTGATGGTCACTCTTTATAGTGTGTTTTTAATAAAACTTTAAAATTGTTTTAGCATTTGATTCTGAAAGAAACAGTTATTTGACCTAAAGTGGCACTTGGTGGATTAGTTATGTAATATTTTAGCATTGGGCCACAGATGAGTCAAAAGTAACTTAGAACTGTTGTGCAGCTAGGACACGGGTATTACTCAGATTACTGGGTGAGAGACAGAAGGCAAAAAATATGATTTTGTTTAGAGCTTACTGGTAACTGAATGACTTTATTGCAACCTGCGTATTGAGTTAGAGGACAATTTAATTGAAATGCAGTAGTTTGCAATGGCTTTGATTCTTTTGTTTGTTTGTTTTTTGCAATGGTTGTGTTGCTCTGTAAGTTACAAGTGAGGCTGTTGTATGCTGTACTAGTTCATTACTGCATGAATGCTAGGGCGCTGTGTACATTATAAAGCTGATAACCTGAGTTTCAAACAGCAGGTGATTTGAATATGCATATAGATTTTATAATGCCCATTACATAACAAACTTTTCTTGTATAGAAATTGGGCTTATTGGAGTTGAACTGGGGATAGGATGCCTTTTTGTGCAATTGAAAATCATGGGGAAATACAAGTGTTGAATGTAAAGTATTTTGTGATTCTTGAAATGTCGGCGCTCCAACAGAAAAGTTTTACAATAGTACATATATGAAAAAGCGGAATACTAAAGGCATGAACAGACAAGAAAAAACTGTTTTTCCAAAACACTTGTTGCACATAGCTGGAATGGCTCAAATGTGAAGGGTTGTTTGGAGGTTAAGAAAGTGAGACCAGTTAAGATTATGTGGTTCTTACTGATACCCACCTCCTAGAATAAAGCAGCTGAGAGAGCAACTTCTACCAGTAGAAGGCTGGGGTTACATCTCAGCCAATAAGACTTCTTTTAATGATGAGTTCTTAACATCTTTAGCTGCTGTCTTCCCAAGTAGTGTGTAAGTACCTCAGTGAATATTATTAATTTATATCATCTTTATGCCACTGCCTGTGAATGGTGAATATCTGTATATGGAATGAGGATCATCATTTAATGGTGTCTTTTATTTTATTTTGTGTTCTATGGATTTGACTTTTCCAATCCCCACAGCCGATCTTAACCCCGTCCCCACCCCCTATATCCCAGCCTACACCAGCTGGTAACCTCAGCCCTCACCTCCCAGCACAGCAAACCTCCGCAGCACCACCAGAGCAAATCAGGAAAGCAGGACAGAACTTCAAGTGTCTGTGGCAGTCCTGTAAAAGGTACGTCTGATTAGCATACACAGGTTGTTTGTGGTGCATAACTAATCTTAGTTGAGCCTCCATCAAGACTTTTCTAGTTTATTCTTGTTTTTTTTTTATCCTCTAGGTGGTTTGAAACGCCGTCTCAGGTGTTTTATCATGCAGCAACACAACACGGTGGGAAAGATGTGTATGGAGGCCAGTGTCTGTGGGAGGGATGTGAACCTTTTCCCCGGCAAAGACTGTCCTTCATCACACACCTGCAGGTAAGACCCCTTACTTATTTTTTGTGACTGATAATGAAAAACTGGTTTTACAGGGAATCTTTTTCACCATTACACATTTTATAGTATCAGTATTGGTGTATTGACATAAATTGAGTAAATACTATATACAGGTTACTTTAAAAATGTGCACTTTTTCCTCCCAGGATAAGCACTGTTCTCGAGAGGCTTTGCTAGCTGGACTCAAAGTAGAGGAGCAGCAGGCATTAAGTCCCAATCAGACTTCTTCCCAGTACGTACACCTTTCTCTTTTAATCTTGATATACAGTATGATTGAAACCTGAAACAATACTTAATATAGAACAGGTACAATCCTCAAATCAGAAAAAATTGTGGTAGTATGTATAATCAAAATTAAAACTGAAAATTGTGAATTGTAAATCTGTGCCCTGTATTACATTGAAAACAGTACAGCAGCACATTATTTGACGCGATACCTCATCAGTTTTATTCTTTACTCAAAATAAACGCTCATTTCAATTCGGATGCCCGAAACACATTCCACAAGAAATTGGGATGGTTGCATGTTAGGGCAAGTAGTTTGGTAGAACAATGAAATGATGATTTGATTTGAAACAGGTAATGTCCAACAGGTGATGGTTTGATATAACAGTGGCATCCATGAATGGCCGAGCCCTTTAGGAGCAAAGATGGGCTGAAGATTGCCAGTTTGGCAATCAACATATTGGTGAGAAAATTATTGAAATATTTAAAAACGTGTTCCTCAAAGAAAGATGGGAAGATATTTGGATATGTTACCCTTTACGTTGCATAACAATTAAAAGATTAAAGGAATCTGGAGGGATTTCAGCACGTAAAGGGCAAGGGCGCAAGTCTGAGCTGGATGACCGTGCTCTCTGATCCCTCAGTCGCCACTGCATCAAGAATCATCACACTTCTATAAGCGATATAACCACATAATAATAATAATCACCTTTATTTGGCCAAGTATGTTACACACAAGGAATTTGTTTCCAGTACAGAACCGAGGCAGCCATCTGCGGCTGCCAACTCTCACTGGACTGCAGGCACCAAGATTCGAACCTCCGATCCCACGGTTAGGAGGCGACTGCTCTACCCACTGAACCACAGTCACCACCACATGGGTTAAGGATTACTTTGGTAAATCTGTGTCAGGCACTATGTAGTTACATCGATAAATCCTGCTTAAAACTGTACTGTGCCAAAAGGAGGCCCTCTGCCAACAGTGTCCAGAAGTGCAGTCGGCTGCTCTGGGCTTGGAGGCATCTGGGATGGATCATCACACAGTGGAAACATGTATTGTGGTCAGATGAATCAGTGTTTCAGGTCTTTTATGAAAGGAATGTGCACCGTGTGCTCCAGACCAAAGACGAAAAGAATCATCCAGACTGTTACTAGTAACAAGTACACAAGCCAAGGTCTGTCATGGTCTGGGCTTGTGTTTATGCCCTTAGCAAAGGTAACTTACACTTCTGTGATGGCACCATTAATGCTGAAAACTACCTAGAGATTTTGGGGCAACATATGCTACCTTCAAGACATCCTTTCCAGGGACACCCATGCATATTTCATCAAGACAATGCAAACCTCATACTGCACACATTACCAAGGCATGGCTGTGGAGGAAAAGGGTGCAAGTGCTGGACTGGCCTGACTGCAGTCCCAACCCATCCCCATTAGAGAATGTGTGGCACATTTTGAAATGCAAATTGCATCAACGAAGACCCAGGTCTGTTGAGCACTTTAAGACTTGTTTGCAGAATGACACCTGACACATTTAATCACCTGGTGTCCTCAGTCCCTAAATGTCTTTTAAGTGTTATGAAAAGGAATGTCAACATTACACTGTGGTAAATGTTTTAGTGTCCCAACATTTTTGGAATGTGTTGCAGGTATCAGAATTGGAGTGAGTGTTTATTTTGAGTAAGGAATAAAACTGAGTTATCACATCAAATAATGTGCTCCTGTGTTTTCAATGTAATACAGGACACAGATGATTTACAATTCACAATTTTCAGTTTTAATTTTGATTTTACATACCGTCCCAACTTTTTCTGATTTGGGGTTATAGCTGCTCTGTTGTCTCTAAAACACCAGAAATGGTTGCATTTTGATGAAAGTTATCACTGTAGAATTTAGAAGACACTTTGCTGCTCTGATTGTCTAGCTGTGCCTGGCTTCAAGTCCTTTTCTTTAGCATTGACTGGTTGGTTTCATTTGGGCCTGGTGTCATGTAGGGATGGGCGATGTCTGTCGACTTGGCGTCAGACAGTGTCTACAGTAAAACATCATGATGGATGATAAAAGCATCGCTTTGCCCATCTGGCAGTACTTTGGATTAAAAAAACAAAACAATGCTAAGTAAAGTGCAGGAATTTTTCTTATGCAACAAATCTTCATGACTATTTGCGTGTACACCATCCCACAGAATGTGCTACATTCCCATCGTAGATGTGAGATCAGTTGATAGTTTTATTGATGAAGACGTCTGTCTCAGTTGGAGATGTTGGAACTACAGAAAAACTCCCAGTTCACTCTGAGTATTTAGTGGTATTACAAAGTGATGCTTCTTTACCTCATAAATTATCTTTGGCTAACAGCAGTGTTTCCCAACCAGCTGCAGCGAGGTCATAAACCTCACAGCAATGAATTTCATTTTGTCCTGTCATCTTTTTAAGTCACATAGTTAATGTTAGTTAACAACAGCTGGTATGATCCTGCTGGTTGTCATTTTAACCAGAAACAATGACAATCAGCAAAAACTGCTAAATGAACAATTTCCACACTGAGCTATGCTAACAAGATGGTGTCAATGGTACTGTTGTGGGGGCTCGTTAAATCACGATTGCAGCTCACCATCGTGAAGCCCGTCAGCCATCGGCGATCAACAATGGCATAATCCCATCACCCATCTCGTGTCATGACGATCATATCGAAATGTAGTGTGAATAATAGATTAAAGGTAATTCTCTGTGTTAGGAATAGCACAGACCGAATCAAAGTACCATAAATACAGCATTAAAATTTCTGGGGAAAAAGCATTATACTCATGGCACTATTTGAGAAATGACACTAATGGATTGTGTGTATGTGTGACATGTTCTAAAGGACTCTGCCAGCAGCAGGCAATGCTCCAGCACCGCGAGCACCGAAAGCAATCGTCAATCATCCGAGCGCAGCTCTCATGGCCCTACGCAGAGGCTCTCGAAACCTGGTCTTTAGGGACTTCACTGTGAGTATAAGTTTCCTCAACCTCAGTTCTCCCTGAATTTCCTTCAGCGTCCCACACACACTTTCCTGCATCTTATTACATTCTCTGAGGTGAACATATGTGCCTTTGAACCTGTTAAATCCCACTGTTTCTGTCATCTCGTGGTTGAAACGCGTCAGGATTGAGTGGAAATGTTGGGCGGAAGAATTTGGTCATTTGTGTTTGTGTTAGTTTAAAATGTGTGTATAAATGTCAGAAAACTTTAAATGTAATTTAAATTTTCCTTTAGGCTGCACATTTCACTTCACACTCTACTGTAAACAATATTGGTTTATGAGTGTGATACCAGATTTAGGACTGGCAGGGTGCCTGTGTGTCTTAAAAATCATTAAATTTAGTGCTGTCAAAAAAGGCCTTAAAAGGCATTAAAAAGTCAAATATAATTTTTTGAGGGTGTTATTTTTTGGCAGCTCTAGGCATTTACATTATAGCCTATAAAATGATTTTTGAGTGTATCCTGACTGATTGCAGGCTGTCACTGTGATGCCATGTTTGTAAATTACATATGGCGAGATTATCCCAAATCAAGGAAAAAAAAACACGAGCAAGACGACACTTGGTTTGGTGGTGGCAGTTGGTGATAATTATTCTCCAGTGACGTGTCAGATACAGACGCGCAAGTGTCACTGCTATTGCTAGCTTGCTATCTGGCTAGGAAACACATCATGTAGTCATCATGGGCAAGTATCATTACAGTGAGAAGTGGCAGGATACTCCACAGTACTACAAGGCAAGGTCATTGCTAGGGAACAACTGTGAACTGAACTGTGTTGTAAAACTTTTAAACTTGGGACTAGGATAAGATGGCTGAGCTTAATAAGTGATAAGATAACCTCCAAGTCAGTAGAGCTCAGAATGCTGGAGCATTAGCTCTTGTTTTAATGATCCTCTGGCTTCCTTAAAAGTGGTATCTGTGACTGTATATCTTCTTTTTTTCCTAGGATGAGAAAGAGGGACCTGTAACTAAACATATACGACTAACTGCTGCCTTAACGTTAAAGAACATCGCCAAGCACTCTGACTGTGGTCGCATGTAAGTTTGTCTGGTTTTAAGGACTGTGGAGTTCACTTTCTGTTAAGTTCTAGGTGATTTTGTTTGATGGTAAGAGGATGAACATAATTTTAAAAAACTGCATTAAGTTGTCAGATATATCACAGTTTATTTTGCTTATCCTTGGGTGTTTGCATAAAGATTTCAGTCTTTCTTGAAGTTAAAGTTTGGGTTCTTCTTTCTCCCCATTTTTTAGGTTGGTAAAGAAGCATGAATCACACCTCTCTGTGCTCGCGCTAAGTAACATGGAGGTTTCCACCACGCTTGCCAAATGCCTTTATGAACTGACACGCTCCCTCCAGGCTTAACGCCTAAAGGATGACCTCTATGACCCCCTCACCCCATCACCCCATCCCTCTCCCAAGACGAGAGGGGAAAAAAGCCACCAGTAAGCCGTAGCAAGTCTGCAGGGGGAACAGAGGCCATGAACCGGAACGAAGACCCTACTTCTGCCACCCTCCCAACCCCCCTCTCATCCCTCACTTCTTCCTCACCAACCTGTGTTTGAACTCCCTCTCCCCATTTACACACAAAAATAAACTGCCACGGGGTCTTCCACCAGCTGCCCACCAGGGGGAGCGATTTAAGACTGCTTCCCTGAGGGTCTCCACCGTCAAAACCCCAAACATGAGCACATTTTGTTTAAGTTCTTTTGTTATTTTATTTTCAAACAGATTTGT